TCCTGAGTTTTGATCTCATTCTGCTCAGCTTCTCATTCCACCAAGGTACGTCTCTCGACACCCTTTTGGATCTGAGGGGGCAGTTTTCTTCAAAGGCTTTTTGTGTTGCGGTTTCAACAGACTCCGCTAACTTTTCCAAGCCTTCTACTGTTCTGGTATGTACCATTGTTCCTTCCAACTCCATTTGTAGGGATTCTCTATATCCCTTCCAATTGGTTTGTTTGGGGACTCTGTAGGATAAACACAGGTTAGCCAGGTTAGCCTCTGCCTCGAATCGAATGTGTGTGTGGTCCGAAAGCGAGGCCTCCTCAGAGACATGCCATCCTCTAATTTCATGGTTCCTAAGGTTGGTTGATAGTGTTAAATCTAGGAGTTCCTGTCTTATCCTATTGATAAAGGTAGGTTTGTTACCCCGATTCTCTATTTCTAAGTCAACCTTAAATATGTACTCTAGGAGATCCTTACCTCTTTCATTGATGTCGGTGCTCCCCCAGATGATGTGATGAGCGTTGGCGTCACAGACTAGGATTAGAGGCATCCCTTTGCTGCGCGCATATTGCACCAGGTGTTCCACTGCCTTTGGGGGGCAGGTGTCCCCAGGATTCGGGAAGTATGCCGAGGCCACTAAGGCCTTTTGGCACCCGTTGGCAGTGAGCAGGTCCACCAAGACAGTGACTAGGTCTCTATTTATGAACTGGAAATGTAAAACATCTTACATTTGGAGATATCAGTATGCAGGCTCTAGGCCTTACATCTGACCTCTCTTATATTAATTTACCCACCTGAGTTGGGAGTCCTCGGATCGATCCCCTTGCGACCCAGGGTTCTTGGATGAGGGCGATGTCCAGCCCTTGTATGGCAAATCTCCGACTCAGGAGTGCTGTGGCTCCTTTGTTGTGCTGTCACTTCCTCTACTTGTCTCCTTCTCCTTCTCACTTTCTTTGGCCTCAGTGGAGTTGGGTGGTGTGGTGCCAACTGGTCCCTTCACCTCCTCCTCCTTTGATGAAGCCTCTGTTTCCAAAATTTCTTGGTCTGGAGGTGCTGCACCTAGGGCAGCTGCAGGTGGATCTTTGTGGGGTTTTTATCCTCAGTCCCTCCTGTTCTTCTGTCCTTCAGCTTCAGTGTCACCATTCCCATCCTGATGAACCCTCTGATGCGGGGTTCCAGCCTCTGCCAACACCTTTCCTCCTCTTGCCTTCTTGTTTAGGTTTGGGACCTCCGGCGTAGCATTTTTTGATCTAGGCCTTTTTCTTGTCCCTTGGTTCTTGTCCTTGTTTTGCGATATCATTCCCAGGCTCAGTTCTACTGCCTCTTCTACGAAGTGGCCCTTTTGCCTATGCCATCTGTATCTCCTTTGGCGGGCTCCTCCCATTTTTGGAATTCTGTCACGCAGCTTGAGTTTCTTGGCTTTCTCAGTGATTTCTTTGTCGTCACCGCTGGTTTCGTCCAGGAGTTGTTCTTCCTCAGAGTTTGTGACCATTAGCTCTCCCTGAGTTTCATCGACCTCTCGGTTGAGCTCTGATCTTAAGGTAGATTGGGGAGCTTCCTCAACTGGAGGTGCCACAAGGACCTCTGCTGTTTGAGGAGTTGCTACCCCTACGTTTTGAGGCACTAAGGCCTGTGTTTTTTGAGTCAATTCTGCCTCTAGATTGATTGTTTTTTTGGCTTCCGCCGTTTTTGTCTCCATGTTTGTCCCACGAGTACCGGGTTTCTGCAGTCCGCCTCTCCAGTGACCCAATTAGAGAGGTAAGGGGGTACATACTGCTGGGTTCCCCCTAGTGCCCAGCAGGCTCTGTTTGAGACACTCTTGATATAGGCCCCCAGTGCCGCGAGACTCTCAGCATGGGTCGCATTCCACCTTAGCCCAGGGCCCGCAGTGCTCAGGCATAACTCCTGCTATACCCGAACATCTGGGTGAGCGTCCTGTTCTCAGAGAAGCAAGCCTCGTCCTAGACCAGTTACGAACACCCAGTTCTGGTGATGCTGCTGCCCCTCACCAGGGAGTCTTTCGGGACTCCAGCCTAGATCCGCCGAGATCAGTGTGACAGGGGCCACGACATGAACTACACAGGCCTGCACTTCATTTTTGTGCTGACCTTCTCGGACGGTCTTGAGCACCATTTCTGATGCCCCTGGGAGTGAAATAGTTCCTCAGCTGCAGATGTCAATGCAGCCTTGGCTGTCCGAGGAATTACCGCACTCCCTTAACCCCCAGCCCATATCTTATTTTACCTCACAATTAACCAATACTAAAGACATTTTTTGTAAGGTAAACGCTTTAAATCCATACAAAAATAAAATAAAAAAATGCAATAGGCTATTTTAGCCTGTGATAAAAGTACGTCAATCTATTAGATTAACCAGCTTTTAGTGTATCAGTTAATTATAACCAAAGATTAAACTAACTTAATTTGACATCTTAAAAATAAAATTGAAATTGAAATTAAAATAAATTAAAGTAAAATTGTTAACCTCCTTGATATAAACATTCTGATACACGGATGGAAAATAAGGTTTTTTTTATTTGATTTCAAAACTATTTACAAACACTGATATTGATATAATGATGTAGTGATGATGTAACATTTTCATCAAACCACGACTGAAATACTTAACACGCCCTTTTATGGAACTCAACCCATAATTTAAATTTTAAATCAATGTTTTAATTTTTAATTTAATATTTTTTCATAATTTATTTACCACTCTTTTTATGATTAATCTGTTTTCATCATTGTATCGGTGGTCCAAAAATAACTCTGGGGGGAGGGGGAGGGCGTGTGATTATGTTGTATCGGTGGTCTAAAAATAACTCATGAGAGGGGGGCCCAAAAAATAAGTTTGCAGGGGGGCTTGCAAAAATTTGTTACGCCACTGGGTGAGACTTCAGTTTAATGTGACAGCTGTCACAAAGACAAAGGAGGTCACTGATATAAGAAATCAAGTATTTTAAACTTGAATGGCAATATTATTTGTTCATCCATTATCACAATAAAAATAGCTTGATTGATTAAGCTAAGCTTTAATGCTCACTATAATTTTTTGTTGTTTTTTTTTTTTTTTTTTTGTTTTTTTTTTTGTTTTAGGACGCTAGGGACGATCCTGGGATTGTTTTCCACATTACTTCAGGCTAGACCTAGGGGTTGCGGCATTATCACTTAGATAAAATCCATTGGTGACTTGGCGGGGATCGAACCCGGGACCTCAGGGACTGAAGTCCCACGCTCTAACCACTACGCCTGTGTTATACAATTATTATCCTGTGTAGCTTGCTCCCCCGCTGCTCACTATAATAGTATACTCAAACAACTCTACTATTTATATTGGTTACCTATTGAAAATGAAATGAAAATCCTTTATTTCAACAGGCAAAATATTGATTGTAGTTTCTGGCAGATATCAGGATGTGATGCTAGTAAATATATTAAATTATTGTTATTCATTGTGACCCTTGGTTGGAATATATAATTGATAAAATAGAAGAATTACCTTATCCAACCCCAGTTGCTGGTATGACAACTAGTTTCGTTCCTTAGAACATCGTCAGGTCGTTGTATGCAACCACATCATCAATGTATTAATACATTGTGGTATGTCAAAAGATTCTTTAACACATTCGCGACTGAGCGTCGCATATATGCGACGCCGCGGTCATTGCCACAGACCGAGTTATACATTTGAATCTTACACATAGACCGGCTGTCACTTGGATAACAGTACACACAGACCACGGGCGAAAACCTGTAAAACAGTGACATTGTAATACGCTACAATCGTGTTTGTAAATAATGTATTCTTGTTTTTTTTGTTTTATTTATAACCTTTTGTAATGTCACATATCTGCGACGCCTGGTCTACAGCAAAGACAATAGTGAAAATTATCATAGTTTTCTTGAAATAGACCAAACGTCGCATATATGCGACAGTTCTTTTTTTGTGTTTTGAGGTGAAAGTAAGTAAAATAAAAAACAGATTGATAAAGAACAGTTTATAACTGAACAAATATAAAAGCTACATAGGATAATGCAGCATACATATTGCATACAAACAAACAGTGATGCAGAAAAGTAAAGACCAGTTTTTCTAACTATCATATGACGTCACCAATCATCATATCCACAGACCAAGCGGCGCAGATGTTCGTCAGACATCCCTGTAGACCACTGCAGGGAATTCAGTGCCTCCAAATAGACCGTTACAAAGATATAAGCATTTTAATAACATTAGAACCCTGAAGCAAATATGCGACGGCAGTCTATTTTAATGTGACTAGCCGACGCATATATGCGACGGCAGTCTATGGGTGGAAACCGGCCGACGCATATGTGCGTCGCTGGTCCACGTGAATGAAAAATTTCGTACTATTGCAGTAGCGAACGTGTTAAAACACTGTCAGAATCACAATAGTAAAAACTAGTCATGCTGATCAAATTGTTAAAATTGAATAAAAAGTGATAAAAATGGTTAAAACTGTAAAGGCTGGCCAGCACTGTCTTATCACTGTCACTGACTAAATAAAACTGCCGTGATTTTATTAACTTAACAGTTTTATTTAGTCAGGTGACAGTGATAAGACAGTACTGGCCAGCCTTTACAGTTTTAACCATTTTTACCACTTTTTATTCAATTTTAATAATTTGATCACTAGTTTTTACTATTATGATTCTGACAGTGTTTTTAAGAATCTTTTGACATACTACAATGTATTAATACTTTGATGATGTGGTTGCATACAATGACATGACGATGTTCTAAGGAACGAAACTAGTTGTCATACCAGCAACTGTAGTTGGATAAGGTAATTCTTCTATTTTATCAATTAAATTATTGCTCAAATTTATTGAGATCGATAAACGATGAAAACTATTGCCTCCAGTTGGCCATTAGTTAAATATGAAATTAAATATACCGGTTGGCATTCATACTCTTCGATTTCATTAATAAATTAGGTTTTATAGAGTTAGAGGTTGAAATCTAAAATCATAAACATTTTATTACAGGAAATACTGAAGGTTCAAAGACAGGGGCCATTCAACATTATAGGAGAGACGTGGAGTGGTGGATTGGCGCTACAGTTAGCAACATTGTTGGAAAGCAATGGCCACACTGTGGACCTATTTCTGCTAGAGGGCGCCCCTGCAGTAGCTCAACAATGGGCGCGAACACTTACAGACAAACACTCTGTAGGCATCTCACTGTTGGCTAGCCTGCTCTCCCTGGATAATAAGGTAGCCTTATGTGTGGGTAGAGTAAATTATATCCTAGAGATCATGCTAACTAAATTAATTGTTTACTCTTAAAAATCCACAGTAACAGCGGAGCAAAAAGAATGCTGCACTTTTAAATAGTGATGTGTCGATACCAAAATTTATCGATTCTCGATACCGATACCTGAGAAATCGATTCTCGATTCTCTATACCGATACAATTTTTTTATTGCTTTACCAATTGTTTTGAGTGGATTGGTTATACTACACCAACCCCTGTCTTTATGTCCTTCCATTAAGTATTTTTGAGGTAATGGGGTGTTTTTCAAAAAGAAAAAAATTTATGCAGCGATGATACATTCCGACAAGCCAATTTAAGTCTTATCAGTTTAAAGTTGTTTCCTCAGCAACGCAATGGCAACATTTTTTCACCCACCAATAAGAGGTCGCCACATCTTGTTATTTGGGCAACGAGTTTGTTGCCGAATGTTAGTTGTCGAGAGTTTGTTGTCGACGGGCGTTGTGTTGCAGTGATTGTTTTAAAATGTGTTGGACTTACTATATATGTACTAACAACTGCAAACTAATAATAGAATTATATGTTTTCTAAAACAATGAAGCTGCTGAGGTGATGCTGCAACACATACTAAAAGCTTTAATTGGTATTTTGCCGCAACAAATCAACAGTTGTCGTGCAGCAACCCTGTTATGTTATATAACGTACATCTCTACTCCACAGACCGTTGTTTTTAGCCCAACAAAAATCAGTAGAACAATACACAGCATCAGTTTTTCCCCTTAGAAACTTCATTTAAATTTCTCTAAAACTGTTTTTAATGTCTCTAAGATCGGAGCTATTGTAGCATTGCTCAAAAGCATGGCCTCGAACACACGTTGATTGTAATAATAACAATGATTATCTGAATTCCAAATGTATAAATTGCAACAGTAAAACATCTTGAAGAATATAATAACTGTTTCTGTCCAGAGAAACAAACTACAAAATATTTGTTCTTGTAGGTTTTGGAGCAACTAAGTGAGCTGACAACGTGGGAAAGTCAATTGGAAGCTGCTTTGAAGCATGTGAGAATAGAAAATAGCCAAGAGGATCCTGACACATTAAGAGAAAGTCTTTTCAAGTCCCTTACTGCCTTGAGAAATAATCTAACAGCTGCTCTTCACTACGAGCCCCAAAAACAACCATTTAAAGGAAACGTGCATCTACTGAGACCCAGAGGAGCTTCTGATGTTGAGTTTTGCGAACTTCAAAAGGTAAGATGGATCCAAGCTTCAATGTTTTTCCAACATGAAATTGTTTAATATTCAGGTACTATTGTACACCTTCAATCTCTAAAACACATTTTTGATCTCAAATCCCTTCTATTAGTAATGTTTCAGTTTCAGAGTTACTTTCAACGGGATCATTTTGAAAAGTAACAAACTGTTTTGTGCTAACACAAATTTACTGCTACTGCTTTTTAATTTCCTCGACACTGTTTCTAAACAATACAAATTCTTCAATACCATTTTTTGAGGAATATCTTTGTGGGACTCTTTGCCGAAGCCCTACCCACCACCTCATCATCTAGGGCACTAGCCTGGAACTGTTCAACACATTACTTGATGAGCCTTTAAATTATACTATTGCCTGAAGTACGGACTAAATGTTTTGTTCAATACCGCTATGGTTAAAGTAAAATAATGATCACTGAAATACAAATCTAAAGCAAGGAAAAACAACAGCGACAAATCTGAGATTCATGAAATGATTGAGTCAAAGGCCCAAAAAGTGAATAGGTCAGATCCATGTCAATGATATGGGCATGTGGTGTACTTGTGTTGTACAAACTATTCCTTTGAACAAACTTCTTCTTTGTTTTTAGTGCTGCCAAAAGAAGCCTCTCATTCATGTTTTGGAGGAAGAATGTCATCAAGAAGCAGTGAGAAGTCAATCCTATGCCAAGATTGTCAACCAAAATGTTTCGTATACCTGGGACCTATAAACAAATTCTTGTGTACCTTTAACCTTTACACAAATTATGGAAACAATAAGGCTGATTGCCAAACAGACACTACTTCTTTATGTTATTAAAATTTTGAAGTTGGCTGTATGTATGGTGTTTTTATCAAAACAAAAATATACGTAGCTCGGTTCTATCTATTAGTCAACTGAGTTTAAAAACTTATTGGTGGTAACACGAAAATCTACAAACTAATTGTTTTGAATTGTTTTTGTTATTTTGTCAGTCCCATTCCAACCACAAGTTTTTTAATTATACTTTTTAGAAAAATACACGTTCCATCTTCTGTTCCACAGCTTAAAACATTGACTTTATATCTACTCTGTGTAGATATAAAGTCAATGGCTTAAAATAACATATTTTAAAATAAAGAAGTTATTTAAAAATAACACACCATGTTTAGGTATTATATATGTTTTACTTTAAAAATTATTCAATTCTCTCAATTATATGTGGTATGAAGAAGTGTTTAAAACTTATTTGACTACGTATGGAAGTATACTAAACACATTTTAAATATAATCAAAAATTAAAACAAATGTTATTATATAAAGAGTGTTTTAGTTTTGATAAATTATCATGTCTTAACAAATTGTAATCTGTTTACTGTAATGGAACTTATGGACATTTCAAAAGTTGTATTACTTGTTGATGTTAATTTGTTATTTAGTTTTTAAATATATTTGTAAATTGATTAGGGAAGTTTATAATTTTTATACAAATAAAATCAAACAACAATCTAAAAGGTTTTTTATCCCTCTACAACTCTATTTAAACAAAGTCATAAATGGTTATATTTTGAAAATGTTTACACTGTACTTCTAGATTATTTACTGTAGTTATTTTTATTGGTGAAAATATAAGAAAATACTTCTTCTGAGGGTTGTAGAGCGTTATTATGTCAACACAATTTTGATATGACTGTGAGCTGGATAGTAGCCTAACTCAACGGTAATTGTCCGAAGTACAATTATAATTTACGAATTAACAATTTATGAAGATTTAGTTATTATTATTAACTTTGAGGAAACAAGTAATTCCAAATATTTTCTCCATGTATTTTTTTTTTAATAACCATCTTTTCTACAGACTATTTGGTTAGGGAGGTGGTTAAATAGTTAATAGTTTCATACCCATATACAAAGGAGCTTTTTCATAAATAACAGTTCTATGGATAGGGAACTGAAGAGTGTTTCTATATAACATTTTATATACAATTTGAGTGTTCCTATAGAACAAATTTATATGGATAAAAACAAGAGGTCCAACCTTAGACCCTTGAGGAACGCCATGAAGAACCGGACGCCAGTTTGAGAAATTTTTATTGTTAGATTCATCTATGGTTGTTTTCACTATTTATAGAATAAAAATCTATGTTTTTACCCCTGAGTTGTAGCTAAAAATACCCATGGTTGGACTTGCTGAATCAGTCTCCTGGTCCAGCGTCCCCGCGACTCCTGTTCCCAGCTCTCCTGCCAGAGCTGGTAGGTGCGGTTGCGATCCTCCGTTTTTGCATGGTCCTCTCCGCGCCGCTGATAAATCGCTTTCCTCTCCACCGCCAAAAGTTTGACGGGGATTACTCTAGCAACCACCAAGATGGCAGGTTCAGACACTGTTCGGTAGGCGGATGCTACTCTGAGTGCTGCCTGACGCTGCACTCTGGTAAGCCGCATCCTATACACCTCCTTATTGAGCGCGCCTGCCCACACTTCCGCAGCATACAGGAGCACAGACTGGTTCAGGCAACTAATAGTGATAATAAAGAATTAGTGTACAAGGATACCTAAACTTACACATCATGCAAATAAATAATCGTACAAAAGCAGATAAGCATAGACAGGCTGAAAATACATGCAAGGCTGGTATTAAATAATTATATGTGGTTATGTCATTGGTTGTAAAGCAAAAAACTCATCAATCTTATACAGGGGGTTTCTGACAAGCCATTCATAAATTGCATACTTAAAACTATTGTAAGGGAGTTGAATTATTCTTGGCGATAGTTTGTTCCACAACTTTCTACTCATAATAATATGGCTTCTTTTAATCTTTTCCAGTCTTGTAAAAGGAATGTCAAGGTTTTCTCTTTTCCTAGTGTCAAAGCAATGAAAATCACCCCTTAGAGCAAAGGTTTCATGCAACTTAAAACTAGATAACAATACATTATAAATATAAAGGTTTATCACAGTCAAAGCATTAAAGTTAATAAATAATGGTTTACAATGTTCATTTTGATCTTTGTTGAATATAGTTCTAATAATCTCTTTTTGGGCGACAAGAACATCATTGATTCGGTAACTATTTCCCCAAAGGATTATCCCGTAGCTTAGAATTGACTGGACAAGTGCAAAATAAACATTTTTGAGATGATTTAGAGGCAGAAGGTTCCTTAATTTTCTAAATAAAAAAGTAAGCCTACTTAGACTTGTGCATATATGTTGTACCTGGGAGTTCCAAGTTAGCTGGGGATCAACAATTACTCCAAGAATCTTAACATTTGAATTGTTTTTGATAGTTTCCTCCATTTGAGGTGTAGGCCGCAAGCTAAATAGCATAGACTGTGTTTTGTCCTCGTTGACAAGGAATTTATTTGCTGCAAACCATTCAGAGGTCAAACTTAGGCTACTTTCCACTGCTACAAGCTGTGTTACATCTGCACCCTTACTTAGAATGGTGGTATCGTCTGCATACAAATATGCATCACAGTTGAGGCTGAAGTGTGATCTCAGTTTTGTTCAGCGCGAGAGAGAGACCGTGATCTGCCATCCATGCGTTTATAGTTCGCATGACTCGGTTTAATTTTATCTGGGCCAGCTCAACACTACGAGCAGCTATTAAGGCTGCAATGTCATCTGCGTACCCAACTAAAACGGTTTCCTCAGGCATTTCAGACCTAAGGAGGCTGTCGTAGGCAACGTTCCAGAGGTCCGGGCCGAGTATGGAACCTTGGGCAGCACCAGAAGCGACACTCATCGTCCGCGGGCCTTCTGTAGTATCATACATGAGGAGGCGGAACCGGAGGTAATCCTCTATAATGCGCATGAGGTATGCCGGGACGTGGAAGGTGTTCTCCAGAGCGTCCAGCATATCACACCATCTTGCAGAATTAAATGCGTTTCGCACATCGAGTGTAACGAGCAGCACAACCCTACGAGAGTAGTGATTAAAATCCTCAGCTCTCACCACGGCTTGCTTCACCTCCTCAATAGCGTCGACCGTTGATCGCCCCTTCCTGAAGCCGTATTGGCGAGGGCTCAGGTCCCCCGCAGCAACCACGGCTGAATTCAATCGGGAACGGATCAACTTCTCCAGGACTTTCCCGGCCGTATCCAACATGGAAAGGGGTCTGTAAGAGGACGGCAGTTCTGGGTCTCCTTTCCCCTTCCCTATGAGCACGAGCCTAGCTTTTTTCCAGCACAACGGAAATACCCCCTCTGCCAGGCAGGCGTTGTAGGTGCTCAAAAGAATCAGGGGATTGATTGAAAAAACCTTCTTAAGAGCCTCGCCAGGTACCCCATCAGGTCCAGGAGCCTTGTTGTTTTTTAGGGATAAAACGGCAGTCTCCAGCTCATCATTTTTTGTTGTTGTTTGGGTTAAGTGTTTTTTTTACTCTGATGACGCTGCTTCATCTGTATCTTGGAACTGTCTGAGGTGGCATTGCAATGCTGAAACAGCTGTAATATAAGCAACGACTGATAGAGCTGTTGTATTCATGTCAGCACCAAAACTAGATATACCATCAACTACTGAACTTCTGTCTTCCGCATATTCGTACTGTCTGTACATTATAAAACAAGTTAAGATGGTAACTTTATACCTGATTTTCCACTTCATTACTTCAACCTGCTAGAAAATATTGATTTATACTATGAAAAGTGTGGTGGAGAATTAAAACTTATTTGAATTACGGTAGAAAATCCGAACATAATATTAGACATAGTAGTAACTTCGCAATGGAAAACATCCTCAATTTAACCTTTTTCGCAACAGTTAGCCATTCTGAGTCTGACTTCAAAAATGGGTTACTCAACGATATAAAAATGCCACCCCTATGATTCAATGTTAACTAAAGGTAACATTCCTAAAAAACTAAAGGTATAATTATGCCTAGGTATGTATGGGTACGTTTATGATTTCCACTATTCATTCACTTGTTTTTAAGTTGATGGATGACCCTGTGTTTACATATAAGGTTTATACCTTTTAACTGTTATAATTGAAACTGTGGTAGCTTCCACTTGCAAGAAAAAAACTTTTTGAATTTTATTCCTAATACTTAATATTTAGTTTTCTTAAATTTTAAAAAACTAAGTTAGTTAGTATTATACTACTTATATAAATACTAAGAATTGGAATTGAACAAAGCTTCAAATAAATTTAAAGGTGTACATTATTGTGTGGTTTGTATATTTTAAAATCTACTCAGCAACATTATATAGATGAAAAACCAGAATTATATGACCACTACTGTACAATACAAGGTGGGAAATCTGATAATAAAAAAGTGCCACTTCCAAGAACTTTGAAAATGAAACCATTGGATTGAACCCCTTCATTTATATTGTTAATTAATTAGTGTTCATTCCACTAAAAGTAGCACAACAAAACAAAATTAAAAAAAAAAATTATCTGTATGTCAATGACATCCTTAAGTATAGATAGAAGAATTTCTATGAGAAAATGTTGTTAAATTTGTATCCATCCAATCTAAAAAAGGTGACCATTTATAGTTAATTTTATTTTAATATCCTAAAATGATCTTTGCATACTGGAGTCAGCAGTTGCCCTAAGTATATGTGATCCAAGATTTTTAACAAGATTCCTAATGAAAATTATAAAGGCATTGAAGATGGAAAATATTAGGTAGGTACGTTTTATGTTTTCTACAAGTTGACTAAAGCAGTAAGTGGTTTTTGACAGACTGGCCAGCTCAATGTGCCAATTTTATTACTATCAACTCAATTGATAAATAAACTAAAAATAGGTATATGTAGGCCTAATGCACTTATGTTAGGCCTCATTTACTTTTTTTACATAAACTCTTTTCTACTTTTCTACCCTACCACATTTTCTAAGGAAATAATTATACCGTATGTGGTATTTTTCTACGCCAGTACAGTAGCATCATTTTACAAGAGGAGGTTATACATAGAATAAATGTTTAGGGTACATTTTCCATTGACAAATAAAATTAAACATATTTAGAACAAAAATTTAACTCACAATGACAAACTGGTAAAAATTATTGCTTTTGTATGAAATTGTCTACGTACACTAGGTAAATGTCATGATCCAGCCAGTCAAATGTTCCGTTGGTGGAGAGGGGATGTTTCTTCAGAGCTAATGTTTCAGATTTACGTTCTTCAGAACTTATAAGGACTTGTTCAAATATTCTATCCCCAAAAGGTTTTTTTTCAATATCTCAGGGCTCCGAAATTGTGTAATCGTATAAGTCCAAAAGTATTTATTTATTTATTTCGACGGCAACCGCCATTTTACAAAATACATGAGATAAGATGTACATGCAACACGATACAAAATACAAAAGAAAACATGATATATGGATGCGTAAGAAATTATGGTGGTGGTGGTGGTGAACAATGTGGGTGAAATTACATAACAGTTACAACATTGTGAAAAATTAACAACACAACAATAACAACTGCCTGTGTAAATAATTAACAAAAATAACAATCAGTTAAGTATCAAAATTACAACATTGTGAAT